ATTTCTCTAAAGCTAAACTTCAATAACAATTCAAGAATCTTATTTTTGCATTCCGCATCCAAAAATATTTCCTGCCTCCTGCTATACAATTTGCACTTACTCCTGTAGAAGGCCCTGCCTATTCAGGAAATAAAATAATCTGATTTCTGAATTGTCTGAATTGCAAACTTAAAGTTTCTAGCATCTAAACAAATAATAGCAAGTGCTCACTACATGGGATTCTGTATATCACATTTTCCAAAACCATCCCATTCTCAATATTAATCACAGATTTTTTAATCCAAAACTGACAAACAACAACCTCTCTACAAGGTATTTTCTTTCATTATTCCCTGTATAAGTTTACAAAGAACAGAAATAAGCGCAATCTTCTATTATCTAAATAATGCCCAATTTACCTAATACTATTATTACGTTTCATAGCTGAATATCTTAAAGGGACAAATTAACACAAAACAAAACAACCAACATTTTGTTATCAGCTCTCCTTAGTTTGATAAGAAAAGAGGATGCACCAAACCAGCTGAATCCTTATTTCCTTTCTTGCTGGCACTATCCAAAGGAATCAGACATTCCATGATTAATCTGCTTGTTCTGGATATCCCAAACTGATTAGTTATTATGCAGCCTTTATAATTAAACTGTGATTAGCTTCTAAATTGTAATTACAGCCTGGAAAGGTTTATCCATTATATTGATAAAAATATGCAAAGTTCCCGTATTTGCTACACTGACTCCATAGAATGCTCCAATATTTTGGTAGCAAAATAGGCAATGGCTTGACTCATAAGAGGTTGAAAATAGATGAGCTATAAAACTGTTGTTCTTAAAATAAATTATACAGCAATGGAAGGTCTCTGGTGCCTGTTCCTCCTGGACAACCTGCTTCTTGGCTCATTCTCCATGTCAAAAACTATTTAAAGTATGGTCCAGGGCATAATTTATGGTCCATTTTTTCAAACTTATGTTCCATGGCAATTCCATTAGAAGACTAAGGTTAAAAAAAAGTTTACTGAAACAGCCAATTTTCTATCAATTTTCTATCTATTTGTTTCTTGATCAGGAGTTCTGGGAATTTTTTTTCAAAACAGGTTCTCCAACCTAGAAAGAGTTTTGGAAAACCCCTGATTTACCAGACTTTATACTTCTGCCACCTGGATATCTTAAACTTCCTTGTTTGCAGCTTCAATAACTTTTCATATCCGATTCCTGTTTTTATGCTCTGACAGGTCGCTCTCTTCCTTGCATGGCACCATTTAATTTTCACAGTCCCCGACATGTTAAAATACATTCTTTTACTGCCAAATTATTGCTATAGAAATCAAATAAATAAATACATACATACACAGACACATATTCCCCACTTTTGCTTTCGTCAGCTATAGGTGCGAAAACCAGCCGCCCTTCATTTTTCCTGAGAATCTATCCCTTCATAATTCCCCATCCTTCTACAAACCTTTGATTTCTTCGGTTTCGCCCTGGATCCGCTTCTCCTCCCTCCTCAGTCGTGTCCTTTCAAAGTCCACTGTTACCTTTTACCTACAGTATAGAAACCGCTGCCGTCACTCCTTCCTACAGCGCTCGCTTAATCTCTTGGGCCTAACAGTTTACTTCCAGAAAATCCTATTATTTCCGCCCGTCAATCCCACTGATTTAATCAGACTTTGCAACTCCCTAAATTGCACGGCGCGCGTCTCGCGGCGGACAAGGAAGAGAAAAAAAAACAGCTCCTCCCTCGCGGAGATTCAGATAGGGCCAAGAGAGCAAAAGCCGCAGGACGCTCGAGCCGCGTCTCCCTCCGCCACTCGCCGCTTACCCCCCAGACCGGCCCTCAAGCCCACCTACCGCTGGCTCGTTTGTTCCGCTCACAGAAAGCGACCGGCCGACCGGCCTCCAGGGTGCTCACTGCGCAAACGCGGAAGTGTTTAGATTAGAGAACTGCAAATTGTGAGTTTGCGCGGCGGGAAGAACCCGCTGGAGTTCATGTCAAAGAGTTCGGGAAGAAGCTTGCACAGTCCACGAATATCTGAGGTCTTTTGAGATCTTTCCTCCTTCCTGAAATGGAGAGGGAGAGAGAGAGACAGAGAGACAGCTGAGACTGCTTTTGGTGGCTTTTGCACTTTGTTATGAGGTGTCATAGGTATTTGATTTTGACGGATCGAGGTGTATGAATTCAACCAATTGGGGTTTATTCAGTCGTGATTAAAACCCTGGTTTAGCATAATGTGGAACAATCGAAACTATTCGGATTTGACAAATTGCAATCCAAACGGGGTGAAGTTTCAGTTTACTCCAGAGAGCAGCTTCTTTAGATTATAACTTCGTGGGCATGTAATACTGCAGAATATAGGTAGTCTTACAACAGTTCATTTAGTGACTGTTTGAAGGTACAACGGCACAGAAAATGACTTATGACCGTTTTTCACACTTATAACTGTTGCAGCATCCCCGTGGTCACGTGATCAAAATTCAGCCGCTTGGCAACTGGTTCATATTTGTCGGCTGCAGTATCCCAGAGTCATGTGAGTCCCTTTTGTGACCTTCTGACAAGCAGTCAATGGGAAAGCCAGATTTACTTAAAAACTGGATTACTAACTTAACTGCAGTGATTCACTTAACAACTATGGCAAAAAAGGTTGTAAACTGGGGCAAAACTCACTTAACCAATTTTTCACTTAGCAACAGAAATGTTGGGTTCAATTGCAGTCGTAAGTCGAGGATTGCCTGCACTAACATTTTTACTTTATGTTAGAGATCTCTTATAAGCAAAATAGATCAGTCACAACCCAAAGGAAACAATTATCTGCAATAAACTATAATTGTAAGTATATTGCTTGGTATCAAAGCATGAGGTTAAACCATCTTCACTATTTTGTGGATTCAGTCTGTTGAAGGAGCACAACACTGAGAACTACTTATGTTTGTTGCAAGGAACATTGGAAAGCAGCTTTACAAGAGGAAATCAATGGAAACTTTTGATTTTTAAAGAAGGTAGGGAAATCCTTGAGATCTGCTTTGGCTGGCCAGTTTGGAAAACTGGGTAGATTCTTATCCTGTCCATGGGGTTAGATCTTCTATTAGACAAAGCGGGCCTTTTGGGAGGGGAACACACCCAGGGAAGTCCATTGGGAAGGAGATGGAATGCTGAGGTCATTAACAGTTGGGATTTCTTTACCTTGCAATTCCCTTGTTAAGGGTTACTCCTCGGCTGTCTGCGAGTTGGTGAGGAGACTTCTATTCTTTGGTTAGATGGGATTGCAGGGGGCTTTTACCTTGGGCAAGGTGGGTCAATTTCCGTCTGATGGAATTGGGCAGAGAGGAATCGGGTTTGACTTTTGTCATATCCATCTTACCAGTATCACTGAGTTCACAAGGACAGAGGATGGATAATTTGTTCTAGTCACTTGATGGATCTCTTTTTTTTAATATCTTCTTCTTGTGCCATATCCGTTATTGGACGTTGGCGATGTTGGCGATCCTGTTTTTATCAGCAGCCGCACGAAAAAGTGCTGCTGAGTTTTGTCCACTTGGGAATTATCCCATAAAATTTGGGCAGTTCCATCACAAGATTTGTCAGTCCCTATAATGTGGTTATGAAGAAGGTGGATACAACTGCCCCCAAGTGGCCTTTCTAACTGCAGATCCTGGAAGGTTTCGTTTTACTGAGCAGCTCTGGGATATATTGCAGATGATGATGCATTGAACATTGCTGGCAGAAACTGGAATTTGATTAAACATACATATAGGCATAGGCCTATACTGTAGAGGCAAGAGCAGTGAAATGCCAGTACTTCTCCATTTACTGCTCTGGTAGAATGCCATCTGATCACATCAAGATATCCTATGCCTTACTAGAAAAGAATGGGTGGTGACCAATCTCTCAAGATGCTTTGACATTTTTGCATGCTATTTGCTGTCAAAACCACTTGTTTTGGCAGGAACAACTGGCATAACTGGGACATCTTGTAGAGTTACTTTGGCTTCTTTAGATCTTTTGGACAAGATTCTTAGCAGTAACAGCTTTGCTACTGTGGGATGGACCTGTGTTTGTTGACTTTTTCAGGCAGCTGTATATTGTTGAATTTGAGAGGTGGTAAATACCTTAGTTTGAAAGGAAGCAAATGCAAGTAAACAAATAGATACCACTTTAGTGGGAAAGTAACAGCACTCCATGTACCTTGGTGTATAGTCATGCCAGCCACATGACCATGGATTCGTCTTCGGACAATGCTGGCTCCCTCAACTAAGAAATGGAGATGAGGACTGCCCTCTAGAGTCAGACACAACTGGACAAGGGAAACCTTTACCTTTTTTACCTTAAATACCTCAGAGAATTTACTTGTCTTGAGAACAACAGTGGTGAATCCCTTACCCCCTTTTGAAGACACCACCTTTTGCTTTGAAAGTCTCTTTTTTTGAAGTCATAGAAATTGCATCTGTAAATAATCCTGAAGTGGACTGTCTTCCTTTCCTGAATTGGATATGGAATTGAAAATATTTGTTGTTCCAATTACCCCTGTCTGGACTTGAATAGAGGGTATTGCCTTCCTGGCACAATTCAATGGCACTTCATACATTGACTTCCTTCTGGACCAAGAAGGTAGGGACTGGGGACATAGTTTTGCAATGGTTTTGCTCCTACTGAACAACAGATCCTGCCAATTCCAATCTAGTAACCAGGTGCTTATCCTCCTCAGTTTACCAAACCTTGGATATAGGCAGCAATGTTAGATGCCATAGAGCTGAGCTCAACGCCTGGTCACTGGACAATAGTACAACACTTCACCCAGGCGCTAATTATAATTTGTGGCTTTTCCAAGATATTCTATAATTCAGTTGTATTGCATGATTTAATGTTTATTCTGATACTATGATTCAATCTTTTTCTGAAATTAAACCACACTGAGCAAATAGGATGCAAATGACATCTCCATATTTCCCTCTCTTCATCTGAAAGACATCCAACTAAGAGATCCCCATTACAAAAAGATAAAGCCAACTACCACTGTAAATTTTTATTATGGCATTAAAAAAACAAGTCAGCTGAGTACAGTCCTGAAAAACAGATCAGGACAAGGGAATGCAGGCTGGGGGCTTAATGTTAGGCCAATAGTTACTTTCAGTTTGGAAGGCAAATGTAGCTCTGGCTTTCCCTCATAATAGTACTGACTTTGGGCATAGAGCACTTACCTCTAGTATGAGGTCCCTTATTGCAACGCTGTGGTCCCAAATGCTTGTGCAGTCACAAATTAGGGAGGACAAGTGCAATTTACACACAGCTATCAAGATGACAGGATCCTGAATAAGTCAGCATCAAATTTTTTTAGAGAGGAACCCCAGGCCAAAGTGCAGAAGCCTGCTTGCATTGCACGTCAGTCAGTCAGGAAACACATATAAAAGGGAACAGTAGGTCACCAGGTCAGTGAAAAATCCAATGGATTTGCAGGGATAATTTTCTTACAGCATCCTTGATAGGGGACAAGATGCTGCTGAAGCTAATCAGCACTGAAAGGATGGGAAGCAGTACTACAGTTCTACGTGTGCCCCAATAAATACCAATAAATATGGAGACAGTGAATGGGAAGGTAGTAGCAGCAGCAGCAATGTTTCCATCCCAGTTGGGGTATTATAGCAGGAAGTGCTATCAAAATCGCACCATTGCTGAGCAGTCTAGTAGAGCTTGTAATTATGAAAAGAAAGGACCAAGGCAATAGCATTATGCCCATAGTCAAGCCAAGAAGAAACGCCCAATATTCAAGAAACAAAGCCTTGTCCAGCAGAATCAGGTCAGCAATCCATGTCGTCATTCTCATACCAGGGGATGGTGCCATCTGTGCCAAAATAACGGTCTCCAAAATTACCTAGTAAAACATGAATTACATGCTTGTAACAGAGGCAGCTCAGGAACTTCTTTCCGGCCCATGGAAATACCCACAACATTGCATCAAACAATAAGTGTTAATCTTGCAAACTACAATGTCCTCACCTAAAACAAAAAAAATATTGTTAAATCAGCAGATCAAAATCAGAAAATGAATGCTACAGCTAGACCAGGGGTAGTCAACCTTGGCTCTTTTATAACTCGTGGACTTCAACTCCCAGAATTCCTGAGCCAGCTGTGCTGGCTCAGGAATTCTGGGAGTTGAAGTCCACGAGTCATAAAAGAGCCAAGGTTGACTACCCCTGAGCTAGACAATGCCTGATCTGTACCACTCAGGCTCACCAAATAGGCCAAAGCAAAACAAAATGTCAGAAAACAACAACTGCTTACCAATGCCAGGAATGATGTGGAATTCCTCATTGACTCTCTTGTCCACAGCAGTGGTGATGATACGTACACGGGGAAAAGCATAAGCCACAGAATGGACTCCCATCTCTGCCATCAGCAGAGACAGTAAGAAGATCCTGTCCTCTTGTACATCATGATCCTATGGGATACAGCACTTGTGAGCAGTCTCTATATGATCTTGAGACTCCATCCAGACTGCAGGTAAAATTATTCTGAGTTCTCCGAACTATTTTCAATGACACCTTTAACCATCAATCCCTGTCATGGATGCACCCCATTCCATATTAGTTGTATTCATCAGTCTGCCTTGGCTTACAAACATCAACAACAGAAGAATTCCAACCAAACAACCACTCGTCTCATATTACTGGGCCTCAACATACCAGCAACACCCGAATAGCCATCATGGCAGCAGCTCCAGTAGACACAGTGCTGTCCATCAGAATGACGTAGTCTTCACTGATCTCTTTGGGCAGCCGGAGATAATGCAGCTGGCAAGAGCAGAAAAGATGTAAGAAAAATAATCTTATCCACAATTCAGCCCCATCTCAAAATTAACTCCCTCCCTTCCAAAAGACTCAATTCCCCTTTTCACCTCAGGTTCCCCCGTGTCATGGTTGGTTTGGATGAGAATCTTTCCTAAGCGGATATCTTTGCAGACAGCTGTAAGAGCCTGCTCCATGGTCTCGCCTGCTCTCAGGATGGAGATTCCAGTGATCTATAAAAGGGGAAAACAGTTTTCTTCCAAGATCCTTGTCAATACGCAATCATTTAAATCTATTGCTCTGTATTTGTAACAGTGACAGAGGGCTTGATTGCATGAAGAAAATCCCAGCTGCATCTCCAGCAGCTACTAAGCAAAGTAGACCTTTCTCAACAAGACTGCTGAAAGTCCTATTCTGTAGAAAACAAGACTGATCTTCACCAATTTAATGAAAAGGAGGATTGGGGTGATATGATAGTGGTGCTCCAATATCTAAGGGGCTGCCACAAAGAAGAGGGGGTCAACCTATTCTCCAAAGCACCTGAAGGCAGGACAAGAAGCAATTCCTTGAAACTAATCGAGAGAAGCAACCTAGACCTAAGGAGAAATTTTATGTCAGTGAGAACAATTAATCAGTGGAATGGCTTGCCTTCAGAAGCTGTGGAGGTTTTTAAGAAGAGATTGGACAACCATTTGTCTGAAATTGTATAGGGTTTCCTGCTTGAGCAGGGGGTTGGACTAGAAGATCTTGAAGGTCCCTTCCAACTCTGTTATTCTATTATTATTATTATTATTATTATTATTATTATTATTATTATTATTATTATTATTATTATTATTATTATTATTATTATTATTATTATATTCACCACCTTTCCCCTATTCTCTGTCCTACAAAGATACTACCCCACAGACCCCTCTGAGGCAATTTAAAAAAATCACTCACCCGTTGCCTATGGAATCTCTTCCCATCATAAATTGTTCCCTGTGGTGTCTCTACAGTAACTGGCTGAAAAAGTCAAGACAATTGCAGGTTGGAATAGAAGGAGCTGACAAGGCCAAATCAACAATCATGCAAGGCTATTTGCTAAGGCATGCTTGAACCAAAAAAACCTAAGAATAACTCCATATGCAGATAGAAGGCTAGACAGTCTGTAGCATCTCTGTTGGCACTTGTAAGATAAGTGGACTGTGTTTGTGTGAGGTGTTAAATGATGGGAGAAGCACATACCTTGAGTGGTAGAAAAGAAAGGGCATGTTCAATCAGCAGTCGCATGAGACGCTTGGAATAGAATATGAATTCATCCCTGCTGGTGTCCTTGTTCCTGCAAAAGCAAAAGAAATGTTATTCCATGCTAGGATTCCATCCCAGAAAATGTATATCGAAAGCAACCTGTCTGACAGCGTTGAATTTGCCTATGAAACCCAAGCCCTTCATCTTTTCCTTAAGCAGCTCTGATGTTCCTCTGTAGCTGCTAAAATACAAACTGCTGGACTTTTCCTCTCCAAAGGCTTATAGCCTGTCTCAGAGGCAAGCATACCCACTGATATATCTTGCCTAGTACCTGATAATAGTGTGCATCCCCCGAACCTGCGGTGTGCTCTCCAAGACACTTAAGGTTGTTGGCAATGGTTGTCCCTGATGAGCAGAGGCCAAGGCTGCTCTGTGCAAAAATACAAATGATGAGTCACATGGAAGAAAGAAGCAATGTATCTGTTGGCCCTACAATAGCAGCTCTGCATGCAAAACATCATTTCTGCTCATATGGTCCCTCCCCCCCAACATTTGTGCACAAAGAAAGAAAACTAGATCCAAAGTAAATTCTGGAAATTCAAGCTCCTCTCCCTGCTTCTAAAAAGGCAAATAGTGTAACCTAGGACACGAAACCTCTTACGAGCAATTATAAATTGCTCTAATTTTACCCAGCAACTACAGCACACCAAAGTCTCCAGTGCCCACCCATGAAAATCAGGCACAGGTAAGTTATCTTTCTACTACTGGATTAAAAAACAGGAGCACAGGATATCGGCAGGAAGACCCCCCCAGCCTTGCTCCGTTCCCACTATCCCCTCAAAATGGAACACAGTACACAGGGAGAGGAAGGTGCAGCAGGAAATAGCCAAAGGAGACCAAGTGTCCTCACATATGCCAGCGTAGCTTCCTCTGATGCAGGTGCCCAGGCCCAGCAGGACAGAAGAGAGACAGATAGACAGAGTGCGTTAGGAGGGCAACAAGGCAGCAGCTTCCTGCCTGAGACATGGGGCAGAGGAACAGCAGAATGCTCCCACAGTACCAAAACAGGGAGAGCAGCTGGGATCCCAGTAGCTCACTGAAAGTAGTCTTAAACGACTGAATGAACTTCCCCATCCCAACCTCGCTGAAAAGTATACCATTTTGGTATGCAAATAACACTTGTGGAAATGTGGCTGGGATGTAAAATGTACCGAAACTCCATTCAGTACAGTCCCGTATGTTATTGTGTATATTATTATACACAAAATAATAGTGTTGGCAATAAATACTTCCTTGACGTGGAGGAGAAAGTGAGGCTATCAAGCAGCACCCTTCCTGAGAGCTCTACTTAGAAGTCTGATTGTAAAGAAAGACAGCAAAGCTGAATTCTCTTCAAAAAGAGCACAAATCTAACATGCTCTAGTGAGGTTCCAAAGTGGTCAGAATTTTGCACATGCTCATTAAGGAATCTTCAGCCTCAGCAACTGCCTATATTTATCTCCTTGCCTATTCCTACCAGATAGTACAAGCAAATCTTCCCCAGCACCCAGCTGCTCTCCCACTGGCTGGCTTGATGGGTGTCAGAGAACAATACTAAGATGCAGAAGGTGGGGGAGAGAAGAGAAGAGGAGGAAGGATCTAGCTCTATTTCTTTAAGGGTGCCACCATACCTGACTGTGATTTCACGCTGGGCGGTAGGAGGAGGAACCCACACCGGGAGGCAGTGTTACAAGGCAGGGAGTAGTGGGAAGTGAAACAAAACAGAACAGCCGGTCACTGTACACAGCAACATTTGCCCCAAGGCCAAGCCTAAAATAATAGAATGGTGGCGCCATTCTTCCCCATCTCCCTATTGCTTACTAATTTGGGGACAAAAACAATGTGGTAGATGGGGCCATCGGGAGTGGAAGGATTCTTGGAACACCCATGACCTGCAATCTTTACTTTGTGGCTTATATAGGGGAGCAATGGCCAGGAATTGGATGCCTTTTCAGGATATGGGAAAAGGGTAAATTCTTGGCAGGGCTATAACAAGAAGCAGATACTGGGCAATGAGGAGGAGTAATCATGTGGGAATGGGGCTTTCTGCAGCAGTGATGTTTTCTCCCTCCCCAAAACTACTTCTCCTCACCTTTTCCAATTGACTATGAACATGCTGAACAATCAAGTCCAGAGCCACAAAGTTCTCTCCACCTGGGGAAAAAAATGTTTTTCAGTCACAGATTTGGTCATTCACTCCAACAAACCATGGAGATGGATCCAAGTGCTAGAGCAGCGTTTCTCAACCTAGGCAATTTGAATATGTGTAAACTTCAAATCCCAAAATGGCTGGCTGGGGAATTCTGGGAGTCAGTCCACATATCTTCCAAGTTGCCGAGGTTAAGAAACACTGCGCTAGAGTGATTATCATTGCAGCAGCAACAGCAATAACTATTACATGTTTCCAGAGAGTGTCTTAAGCATTTCACTTCTAAGGCTTTTTCCCAAAGTAGACTAACCTTGTTATGCTGCACATACTTATCTCTGCTACTTATTTAGTTCTTGGTCTTTGGAGAAGAGGCCCCTAGAAATGGGTCCGTTTTTTTTGGCCTGTGTTAACCAGATTTATATTTGCTAAACTATACTTGTGACATGGGGGCAATTTAAGATGTGGGGGAATAAATTCTCTCCACTCCTAGCAATGTTTCAGTTTTCAATGCTGCTAACATTGAATGTTCTTGCTTTGACAAAATATGAAGAGGCAGCCACTCTCTGTGTATAAGCTGTGTGGTACTTTTAGAGTTAAATTAGATGATGCTGGGAGGGGAGGAGAATGTGTGTGGGGATTAATTAAGATAAGAAACCTACAGAAGGGAAACTTTGCCCTTCAGACTGACTGGAGAACGTGATTTATGAGGTTGCTATGTTGTGCATATGCAAGAGCTGTGTGCCAGATCAACTATGATACAACTATGACACAAGAACTGGGGGAATTATGCCAAGGCAATACAAACTCCAGATCTCAAATGTATTTTATGAATAATTATTTCATCTTGCTGCCTATTTGGCATAGGGACATAAGGGACTGTCAAACCATCAAGAGGAAATCCAATACTTGATTTATAGTAAAGCAATTATGAATAATTTTTCATACCTACCTGTACAATGCTATGTAACTGGTAAAACTCAACGTTTTAAAACTTTACCAAAATGTAGATAGTGTTGGTTAGATCTAATTCTATTTTCTTACCCATCACAGCAAATGGGGAATTTCATTTACATTACACAACCATATCAGAAAGATCCAGGCTAGTCAAAGAAATTAAGCATACTGTTTTTCTTTCAAAAGCGAGACATGCATTGTGGAATATGGTGGATTCAGATGAGGAAAGCTCCTTTAATCTTGCCCTATAAATAAATGCAGCTTTGCCTATAACTGAAAGACATAATTTTTGTTTTAATTCTAAATACTGTATCAAGATGGTACTTGATTTGAATATAATGTCCCTGGGTGGCCATCACAATAGATAGGGGGATAGAATGAGCAGGCAGAGGTCTTCCAATATTTGACAGACCGTCACAAAGTAGAGGGGGATAACCTATTCTCCAAAGCAGAGGTCTCCAATCTTTCCGGGCTCGAGGTCCAGAGGGAAGGAGCAGCTTCAAAATTGCTGTGTGAGTCCGCGCACGCATGGGGCCATGCACACTGGCGTGGCACTAGCAGCCCCGTTCACGCATGCGGCATGCACCGATGCACTGATGCCGTGTGCATACGCGAACAGCCACGTACCCCCACGGCAGCTAGAAGTCTGTTCGCGCATGCGCAAACGGGCCGCGCAAACCGCCCGGGCTAGCAGCACATGCGCAAATGGGCTGTGGATACCCGCCCCGCACTAGCATTCCCATTTGCGCCTGCATGCATGCGCAGAGGCCCGCGGGCGCTAGAGCGAGTGGGGGGAAATGCGCATCCATGCGTGTATGCATCGACCAGCCATTTCTGCAGCATGCTGGCCAAGAGCCCACAGCCCTTTCCCAGGCCGCGGACCATAGGTTGGGGACCCCTGCTCCAAAGCACCCAAGGGCAGAACAAGAAGTAACAGATGGAAACTATCAAGGAGAGATCCAACCTAGATCTAAGGAGAAATTTCCTGATAGTGAGAACAATTAATCAGTAGAACAGCTTGCATCCAGAAGTTGTAGGTGCTCCATCACTGGAGGTTTTTAAGAAGACATGAGACAGCCATTTGTCCAGAATGATATTCCTGCTTGGTTAGGGGGCTGGACTAGAAGACCACCAAGGTCCCTTCCATCTCTGTTAACTGTATTAACAGATCACTCTTTATTTAAAAAAATCATTTGAATTAGGGAGTAGGTTCAAAAGTCAAAGAGATTCTGAAATAGGGATGTCTGCATCTCAGGTAATATTTCATCATTCCCATTCATAGTTCAGTGGCAGGACTCAGCCTTTTTTAAATTTTCTATATCCCATAAATCAATCAGTCTGTTTTTTAAATGCTTCTTAAAGATCTTGGTACAAATGGTTCTCTTGGTCATAGAGGTTAATCTTTGTTTTAAATATCTAGTTAGTTTTCAGATCTTTTATGAGAACCATTTTTAGTGTGGTGGCTAAGGTGCTGGACTAGAAACCAGGAGACTAAATTGTAGTCATATTTAGACATGAAGCAGGCATTCTGTCTCAGTGGTCATACTCAAAATTCCTGAGTATCCTACAGTGAGTACTGGCACATAACACAGCCCAAAGTTGCACCTTGAACAAACCTACAGCCTTTCCTCCTTCTCTCACCTCGAGGCACCACAATGTCTGCTGCCTGCATTGTAGGTTCAATGTACTGCTCAAAGGACGGCTTCACAAACTTGCTGTACTGCTTGATGACACCTGCCACGTCCCGCCCTCGTTCCATGATGTCCCGCTTCAACCGCCGCACAAGCCGGATATCCGAGTCTGTGTCCACAAAAACTTTCATGTCCAGGAGCTGCAGAAGTCACAAGGAAGGGAAAAACTAGAGACAAAGGCATCTGGCCAAAGTCTTATCTTAGAACTTATTCAAATGTCTGCATCTTTGAGGGGCTCATTTACAAGTTACTTCCCACAAAGCATTTGTGACACAGATTAAATAGGGAGCCCATCTACTCATGTTTGTTACCTTTGTTCTATTCAATACCTGTAGAAGCTCCTTATTGGCAAATGACATGATACCTTCAAATATAATTACATTGGCCCCATAGATAGTTTTCTGCAAAGAAAGGAGAAATAATGTGTCAATTAAAGCTGGGGAGAGAAGTCAGAACCCACCAGAAACTCAGATCTAAGACATTCTTCCTGGGTACATTAACCAAGGTCAATTCCAATATGATGCCCTTTTTCACATTAAGTTCTTTCTCGTATTATAAGACTCCACAATCTAACAAAGCTTTCAAATGAAATAATTGCCAATAGAGTAGCGATATAGCCCTCAAATCACCAATGGAGACAAACGAGCCTCTAGCAGCACCATTTTCAACCTGTGACCATCAGCTTTCAGGAAAAAGTGATAGTCATTTCTCCTAAAAAAAAAAAAAAAAGGAAGAGTCCACTGTATTCCAGAAATATTTATTTATTGAACTTATTTGCCATTTTCTTGTAGTGAATAAAATATACTCATCCTCAGTCTCCTAACTTCCTCCATCTAAAAAATAGTTACAGACCCCTACACTAGCAAGCAAATGAAAAAAGACACCTAATGAGCAGAACTATAATTTTATTACCTGTCTTCAGTCCCCAAAATGAAACCAATCAGGCATTCAATGAATACTATACTACCGTAGCAAAAACAGCACAGCCTACCCCAGACAGACTCTCGCTGACATCAAAAAATCATCTAAAACATCAGAAAAATATTGGTGACCTTTCTTTTCAGATCATATCACAATTCTATTCTTTTATTTGATTTTACTTAGAAACTGCTTTAGAAAAATTTGCATTTCAAAAAGCAAAATGGAATTCATTACGTGAACTAGGACAGAAAATACAAAATGAGACATTCTGTGAAGACCATTTATACTGTTAGTCAAATGCAGTTCTCCTTCCAAAGATCCTGCAACATCTGAACCTCATCAGGTTCCAAAAGAAGAAATGCCTGCCAATTCATGCAAACATAGTAGGTAAGATAAAGAAAGTCTTTTTAATTTAAACATTGCAGCATTATTTTCACCAATTGAAAGAAGTTGTAACCAAATAAATGAATGTGCACGAATAGTGCTTTTTATAAAAACAGGGCTAGAATCAATCTCAGCAGTTTGAAGGTGTGTGGAATGAATGGGGAATTCTAGGACCTGAAATCCACAGAGTTGAGAAAATTAAGGTAGATCAATTTAATGTCTTTATGTAGAAAATATACAGCCATTTTAGGGAAACGTTTCAGCTCCACATTAGAATAGAAAACCTACCTCAGGAATGAGGAATCTAAGGCTTCCACATGTGAACCATTCCCAGAAATTTACACTATTGGCCATGTGTGCTACATGCTTGCAGCTATGATTCTGCACTCTCTAGAGGAGCTTGGGTGGCTTTCAACCTGGCCTATAACAACCCCTCCAGCCAACAAAGTCTATGTATTTGTGCAGTTTTAGCCAATTGCAGAATACCAGATCATGAATACCTTATGGAGATAATACAGCCTCACAGAGAAGGGTAGAAGGGAAGCATTTTAATTTCTATTTAATTTAAATTAAATTCTATTTAATTGCTATGAATAGCGCAACATTCTCCTACACCAACATACCCACTCCTTGCTCCGGCTATGTGTGGTAAAATCATAAACAGGAACTTTAACGCTCTTGCCCTCTTTCAGCTTTCGTAGGACACTGATGAGCAGGTCAAAATCAAAGGCATCAGGATGGTCAAAATTGTATTCATTACGGGCAGCTTGCTCTTGCTGTTCTTTGTTCAGTACCTGGAAGAGCACCAAAGACATCAGAAAACAGGGAAGAGAACAGACTGGATCAGTACTGTAGAGGTGATTTTCTAGACTCCGCTTTCTCACTTCTTCCCATCTCTACCTTTGAGAGGGGTTGAGTTGAGGGAGTTGGGCCAAGATATTTTAACCAGCCCACCTTGTAGAAGCTATCCATGGAGAGCAGCACCACCCAAGGCACATCTAGTGCTTCAATGATTTTGTTGGCCACTGTAGTCTTGCCAGATGCACTGCCACCACACAAGCCTGGGAAAGACGAAAACACCACTAACACAAGCTAATGAGAAGAGGATAATCTGGAGGAACAGCCCTAAGACATGTTCCCTCTCCTCTTGTTCTTTATTGTCTAGTGTGCCTTGATTTCCAATGATCCCCACTTCAATCTCCCTAGTGGGAAAGAAGCCAGCATGCAGATGTCACCAGCAGCATTACTCAGAGTGGCAAGCATAGATGTGGCTCACGTAACACATTACAACCAAACCCAGCAGGCGTGGTACTACTAATATGGCCAACAACAGCAGAATACCTGATTTAAAAAAACCTTATTTCAGCATATTCATCTCATTCTATGCAAATAGCTGTAACTTAAAGGAAGGGGGGGAAATATGGTAAAGAAAATTAGAAACCAATAGATATCCAAAGGCAGGGAAAGAGTGACCATGAGCTCCCAGTTGCTGGATAAATTTCATAAGGACTCAAACAGACCCTCCCATCTACAGGACAAAGGAGTAGCCCCGATTCTCCTACCAATGACAAAGGCTTCCTTGAAAGGAGTGCCCGTCTCGTTGTACCAGGGCGGCCGTCCAGCCGTGTAGATGGTGCGCTTGCTAGTCCGAAGCAGCGGCGGCTCCGTTTTCGACTGGCTGGTGGTCCTTTTCCTTGGGGAAAGCGACGGCGTGAGCGGCAAGCGGTTGACAAGGCTGTTCAAGGCGGCTCCTCTGCTCCCGCTGAGCCGGAGGGAAACCAACACGTTAGGGAAGACTATCTCGGCCCACCCAACAAAGAAAGTCATGCACGGTGCAGCTCCTTCTGCACGTCATCCCAGCCACCTACAATCCACAGCACCCTTCATGCCCCGTCTCCGGAGGCATCCGGGGCTCGGCTTCCAACGTTGTCTCCGAGCTTAGGAAGAACTAAGCAATGCAATGGGAGGCGGAAGAAGTACGTGGCCGCGACTGTGGGCAGGGAATTTTAAACCGGGGGAACTTTCCAAGGTGAGGCGGACAAGGGACGCCAGCGAACTCGCTCGGGCTCCGCCTGCGACGCCCCGGCTCGCTCTACCGGCTCCGATTCCTCACCTGCTACGCCGCGCAGCCGGGACAGCTTCCTCGACCACGCCGTCCGCAGACGCCATCTCCATCATGCTCCCGCCAGTCCTCTGCCTGCAGCCGCACAGCCTGCCGGGAGAACGTCGAGGCGTGGCGCGCTTAGGACCACGTTTTGGCATTGTCCACACCGCCCCTGCACTGCGAAACGGCAAGTTCCGTCAAGTTCTAGGAAGACCATAGAGCAGGAGTAGGCAACCTCGGCTCTTTTATGACTCATGGACTTCAACTCCCAGAATTCCTGAGTCAGCTATGCTGACTCAGGAATTCTGGGAGTTGAAGTCCATGAGTCATAAAAGAGCCGAGGTTGCCTACCCCTGCCATAGAGAATAAAAGAAGAGAGAGAGAGAGAGATCTTATTGTCGAGACTCCGAACTTTCCCTTGGGGAAGCCATTTTTAGATCCGTGCAGAATTGGATGTCGATCGTTATGGATGGAATTGAAACTGGCCCTTTTTTATCTGCCGAGTAACAGACAAAATGCCCGGTAGCAAATTAAAATATGGTGTAACTTTCGTGGACCACCGTCCGCTTCGTCCAATTCATGGACTGTAATTTTTAAAAGAAAGTGTAATGTCATAGGTAGGTATTAAAAGGGAAGGGGAAGACAGGGTGAAAGAGGGAAGTGAAAATTATCTGTAGTGACAGCCATAAGTGATCTAAAGTGAGTCGTTATCAGTATAAGTAAGTAATGTTCACCATTCTCTTCATTTTAACTGCTTTCCTGAAAGGCGGGATTATGCCATCCAAATCTCCACTGGAAAAATGTTACATATGGTAGTTGCTATTAGGGGACAGTATTAATGTCTACTCTCCCCTGATCTATTTGAGACAGATAGTCCTGCAGGTACCCGGATGCTAAACTATAGAGTTTTAAATCAAAATCAGTATTTTGAATTGTATGCAGCTGTGTATTGGTCACCAGAGCCTGCAGCATTGATGTTATAGTAATAATCTGAACAGCAGTGGTTTACACCCAGCAACAACCAGGCTTCTGCATTTTGAACTAACTATAGCTTCTAATCATCAACTTCATCCCATAATTATATAAATTTCTAACAATGTAACTAAGGTTACTTCTCTGCCAGCAATTTATGGTGTTTTTATAGCACCATCCAGTCATAGTTAAAGTGTTACAAAGTCTACCCTCATTTTGGCTCAACAACAAAGCACTATTTCAAACATTGAATCACTGAAGTTCTAAGTTACACAACATTTAAACTAACACCAAGCAAATATATTAGGGCGTTGTTTCTCTACCTCAGCATCATCTCCCAGAATCCCACCCAGAATCCCTCAGCCAGCACTGCATTATGGCATAGCACAGTATCCAATATTTACTGGGTCATCTCAATCATGTTTTTTGATATTTCAATTGATTACAGGAAAGGATACTTTTGGAAAATGTTCATTCTTCTTAAGCAAGACTTGAGCTTCCATACGCTTACATGCTATCCCTGATGAACATGGGCAAGACCCATTTAAGTCTAGTGGTTTGATTCTCACATTGGCCAACCAAATGACCTCTGGAGTACCTGCAAGCAGCAGACTGAGATATAGCCCTATCCACCATTGTTCTCTTGCAATTGTTTGGGAAGCATGCTGGCATCAAACTGGAGGCAAATTGAATTCTCAATAGCAATAATCATTCCATCTATATTCCTGGGAACAGTTTCAAAATGTTCTAAAAGTTGGTGAGACAAGATTTTTTCCTTCCTGGATACAATTCCAATTTTCTTTCAGCAAAGCTTATTTCTCTAGAAGTCTAGCTACCATATTATATCATTAATCATAGTATTCTCATTGAGGAGTTGGAGATTGAAGGCACAGCTTTGTTATTCTACTCTTATGTCAAAAGTTGTTTCCTGATCATCTTGAATATTATGGCTGTGTTCCATCCATTGAGCTGTTAAGTGTCACAAGATTAATTTCTATCCTCTGTATTTTTTAATAGTGAAATGAAGTTGTTAGGCTTGATTGGGATCCCAGTGACAACTGGACTTTTTTGTTTTTTTCCTTGAAAACATTTTGCTTCTCTTCATTTTCAAGGGGGGGGGGGAAGCCAAGTTGCCTTCTGAAAAGCACCTTTGGGACAGCCATGATCTGTTGGATGCTTCTCAACATTTTCATTTATTTTGGCAAAGCTATATTGCTTACACGTGTTTTTCCAAATTAAATTCAAGGTGCTTGCTTTGACATACAAATCTCTAAAGGGATTGGGGATTTGTTACTAGAACAAGTGGCTTTTCCTACATGTTATGAATAATAATCTTCCAAAGATTTCTTGTAGGTGCCAATCCAGAAAGAGGCTTGGCTAGAATTTACTAAGATAATGAACTTCTTGGTAAATGCTTGCAAACTGTTCGGACCAGCAACTTCCTGCTAGCTTCCCCACTGATTTTGATTTTTGGAAAATGGCAAGAGGTTGTGAGGTGGTTATTACTTAATGAGCCATGATCCTCACTTAATTCGCTTAATGGTAGCAACAGGAACTGCAGGGATTGTTATTTGTAAGCAATGCAATCACAGGATATCACACTTTAGAATGGATTGTTTAGCGATGTAAATACCTGTTTCAACTGCTGTTGTCCTTTAGTCCTGCCTTAGGCACAAAGCCAGCTGGGTAATCTTGGGCCTGTTACTCTCTCTCAGGCCTAGGAAGGAGGTAGTGACAAACCACTTCTGAAATCTTGCAACAAAACTGCAGCGACTAGTATAGGCAGTCACCAGGAGTCAGCACTGACCTGAAGGCACAGGCAGCATCTGGTATCTAACCCATTTTTCTGCCTAGTTTTATGCTTTGGATATATTGAAAGAAGTTATTATTCCTCTAATGTTGAAGCTGATTAGGTAGAAGTCTTTAATTTTCACAACAGTGACAACCATTTTGTAAACAAGGGACAGATGGCACAGGAAGAAGTCTTCAAGGTTGGTAAACTAGCAGCCACATGTTTATTGACTAAGAATAATAGGAGTGGGGGTGAGATCCAGAGAAGAAGACATCATTTCAGAGGTTCCTGTAGAAGGAATTGGGCTTTGGGGGATGAATCCATTTGCAGTTATACATACTCAGAATGGAGTGAAGAACTTTTGTTGTGAGTGATTTGATCATCAGCAACATACAGAGGTAGATCAGTGGGTCTATGATTGAATAGTGACTTGCCTGTCTAGTAAAAAGTTTGGGGACACTGTTATGAGAAGGCTAAAACTAAGTGAAGATACAATGCAAACACAATTATTAGGTTTTGTATCGATCTGATTAAGTGTATTATCTGAAGCTAGTCACTAGATTTGGTTTTTTGAGGGCCAAACAAGAGTAATAAACACTGATTGGCAACATTTTTTGAATTCTGTATTAAAAAAGTAATTCTGGACAAAAATCTTTACCATATCATGCACATTCAAATCCTTTTTTCTAACAATTGGGTGCTATTGTTATTAATGGTATTCTATTAAGTATTTACCTATGAATACATAAAGTATCAGGAAAAAAACACAACGGGTCATGTCAAGGTCAGGTACAATGCCTGGGGGAAAAAACTTAATCTTTAATGGGGGATGCTATTCTAAAGGTTCACTTTGTCTGTCACTGTATAATGAACTTAAAAAAGAAATAAGTAACAGTATTTCATCTGAGCATGAATGAAACAAGACCAGTGGGGTTTTCCTCGTAGTCAGATTAATGTGTTTTTTTCCATCTTTCATTCAAGAAAAAACTATATTGGCATAAATTGCTGTGCCCCAGAATCTTTACTGCACCTTAGCACCAAGCCAAGTAGTGTTTCTAAACTCATCCAATTTAATTTCACAGTAACAATTGATGGATTCACTGTTGTCCTCTACCCTCCAACCCAGCATTAATTGCCAAAGGGAAAACCAGTCATTAATTGCTCCCTTCAATGTATGATAGGGTAAGATTGAGGGTTCAACTTTTTTTAAAAAAATTATCTAGCTTTAAGAAAGTAGTTACTGTCTGCTGCTTCTGATAGGACTCCTGAGATTTCATAAATTACTGTATTTTATTTTCTTTGACTGTTGGTTTTGGCCAATTCAAGGCATACTATACATACTTAATGCATTATAATGTATTTTGAGATGGGTGGCCATATAAATTATAAATAATAAAATGTTCCCACCTCTTATTTTGCCCACAACAATCTTGTGAGATAGGTTGGGCTGAGAAAGCATGACTGACCCAAAATCACCCAGCTGACTGCTGCCAATGATAGATTCCCTGCTGGCTTGATTCATGTGATAGTCCAGTCAGAAAAATAGAAGATTAATATATTTGTTCTGAATGCCACCTGATTTAAACGCCTGCCTGATTTAAAATGTAAAGCATAGAAGCCCAGAACAGGAAGCTCTCAGGGATCTTTGTTTTATGGTCAGGAAAAAAAGCCTCTTCTCCCTCTCCCCCATCCACCCACATTTTGCATCTGACTGTATGCCTCAAACACTCTTCACACTTTATACTTTCCCCAGCTTTAGTGTTCAGCAACTAGACAGATTGAAGGCATTTCTGCCACAGTCTTCTTGGCCAATTATATTTGAGGGATATATAATTTGCCCATCCCCTTAGGTCTAGCAGAAAAGGTATGTTGTAGGTCCCACCTGTTAAAGAGTTACCTCTGATGGGACTCTGGAGATGGGCTTCTCTGCCATGGCACCTGCCCTGTAAAACGTCATTGTCCCCGTCTACTATATTCTACTACCATCCTTAGTAACCTTCCAGAAGTCCCTCAGAACATTGCTGTCTCAAAAGGGTTTGAGAATCTCAAAGGAGTGGTGAATTGGTGAGGTGGTTACATTGCCTGTAACATTTAATATGTTCTCTGCTAGCTTTTTAATAATGTTGATGGTTTTTTAATTATGGATTTTTTAAAAAGGTTGTTCTTTCTTTGGTTTGCTTTTATTGTATGCCACTCAGAATCACACTTGCGAGAAAGGCAGCTATATAAATATCATGAATAAATGCATAAATAAGAGCTGAGCACATCTCTGTCCATGGCTGCAACATTGTCAAGTTCATCCCTGAAACACTCTAAAT